ACCAGTAGGTATTTTTATAATATCGATCGATATAAGACAAAACAAATATTGTATTTACAGAAACATCTATTTAAAATACAATTATATATTTATGGCATGGGTTTTTGGGTCCAACATGGCTCCCATTGAGCTTTATGAGTGTGTTTTTTTCACAAACTCATAAAAAAGATAATAGAGGTTGCATCAGATATAACTTAAACTTCTATCTATGCCATAATATATAAAAAAATGTATTCACATTAAGAAATGTAAACGAATCCCACCTAATACGTTAAATAAAAATATGTACATTGCTGATGAAAGCACAATACGCGTCGGACTGTATAAAAGCTCCCCGCCTGGAGCAGTAGGTAAAGAAAAAGACCCTCCCAAAGCCTGAACTGGTGTAAAAAGGCTTTACAGCTTGCTTCTATAAACAGCGGTACTGACGTGGGTACTATTGAATAAAATAAAAGGAATAATTTGTGCTGCTAAAAGGGTATCATTATTATTTTTCTCTTCATATTGCTATAAATTGAAACATTATTTGTATATGAGATAACGTACCTTCATGCTATTTTTCAGAATGTATTACCCATAGTCTCAATATAAGTTTTCATTACTAAACTGATCTGGAACTGATCGATTCTGTTTTTATCGGTACTGTTTCCATCTAATATTAGTGTTAATGTTGTGTAATTAAGCAATTACGCGCTAAAAATAAAGTAGGCAGAATAATATAATTGTCTATAATTAAAAATTACTATAATTAATTATTATAATTGGAAATTATATTTACTACTAATTACATGATGCAGAATTGGATTTAATATTGGTTATTTTGTACTTTACCGATATTGTCCATTAATGGATGCGTCATTGCTATTCTTAATAATTAAGTGACGTATTCTGACCTCCATGTTGTCACGATTTTAATCTGAGTAAAGCAAAAACAACTAACCACTATAGCGCACAAAATAAACTTCAACTGATAGCTTTTTTAGGTGTTTATTTTACCACAAAATACGTATTACGCTAATATAAAACCTATTAATAATTCGATTTATTGTTTTCCTAGACTTTTCAGTGTACTCTCAGGGTTGGGTGAGGATAAGAACATGAGGTTTGGCTTTAGTAATCCAGGAATATGTATAAAAAATTGATTTTTTCAGTCAGTTAAAATATAACGTAAGCCTATCTTACATATGCGATATAATTATACAAAGAATGTATAAACCATATCCGCAAATAGGAAACATTATACTCTTGTAGTTTTACCTAACATTGCGGAGAAAGTTTTGCATATTCTATCGTAGCACACATCGATTCCATGCATTAAACCATGAAGGCAAGTTAACGGATTGGTTGACCTGAATTTTCTTTAAGCTAAAGTACTCAATTTTCATTAAAATATTATCATAATCCAAGACTTGCATGACATAATTGACAGTCTAGTTTTGCATTATAATTGTTTGTTATGAAATAGTCACCTACATCTCGAAATATCTAGGTCAAACGGGCCATTTGATATAATACTAATGAATAATTAATACTGTGCGAGCGAATAAAAATTTTAATGCAAGAAACATCTGTAAATTTTAGTTAGAAAATGATATTGCAAAAAGTAAAATGTAAGGAAAAGAGCTTGTTTACAGTATGCCTTGCTTAAATTAAACTAGAGATGAATATTCCTTGCATATTTATGTACGATTACTAATTGTTAACAGTTTTGCTATCCCAATTGATAAGCACTTTTGATTCTTATTGTTGTTCCTAAATTGTATTTTAGCTCAGTAAAAGATCAACTTTGGAATTACTTAAAAATTGCGTTAATACCTCGGATTTTTCGAGACCATTTTCTCACATCAGTCAGTATAGAAATTGTTTTTACATTAAATAATAATAAGATATGTTTATTATGGAATATAAGATACAGGTATTGTTCCACGTCATTTAATGTATAGAAACTGTTTTGACATTGATGTGCTATATTTAGCACATTGTAAAAGGTATTTTTGACTTTTCCTGGGAAAGCGGTCTATATCCGCTATACGCATTTGTATGCAAACTCGATCGGCTACGACATTCGATTCTGATCACCGATCACATAATTTCCACGTGATGTACACTCTAAATATAGAGGTTTCACTCACGTCAGGGGATTTTCGAACCGGTCGAGAGAGTGCCATTGCAAACTTCCGACAGAATATCACATTCCTTGCAAAAAGGATTTTTGTCGTAAAGCCACATTGCCATTAGGGAAACGCTCCCATAAATTATTTTATACACAATAACTTTTTAGTATCTCCCGTAAAAATTAAAATATAAATACATTCCTTTCTCAGTGAATGTTTACCTACATCATTAAATGCGTTAAGTTCCTTACTTTTCCCTCTGCGTGGATGACTCAGACAGGGCAAATACTTTTGAATAAATAGAAGATCATTAATTGACACGCTCGTACTATGTTTGATTTAATCTTTAGAAATTATCGCAAATATTTCTTAAGTGCTTCTTAAGTTAGTGCATTTTGTAATTCAAAGTCCATTTGCTGACTTGTTTGCTTGTGTTTACGCAATTTGTCTCAGTACTCACGTCGCTTCCGTTAGCTATTTCCTTGTAATATCAAGGAACTATACGTAAGGATGAATGACTTGAATATAAATATAAATAAGAGTTAGATGCGTCTTCCGTGTTTCTCGATAAACCTGGTTCTAAATTATATTGTGAAAAGGAGTACGAAAACCATATACAGGGTGGCCAAAAAGTCGTGGATCAAACCAAAAGGGGATAGATGAGGTCATCAGCGGCAAAAAATTATTGTACGGGAGGTCTCTAAGGTCAACCCCTGCAGAGTTATTATTTATTTTGCGTTTTATAAGAAAATTGACTTATTTTTACTAATTCTTATTAAAATTCGATAAAATCTACATCCTGTATATTTTTCATAATATCCACTAGATTGGTGCTGATGAGTTCCTGCTTAACACATACTATTTATAGTTGTTTATTGAGGGTATTGAATATAATATAAGGTTATACGATATAATTTTTTTCAAATCAAAACTTTTTGTTTATTCAGACCCCTCTTAAAAAAATTACTCTACCGAAAAGTGACCCTGTATTACAAGTTTTGGCGCATTTCATAGGGATTCTGAAAAGGTATTACACATGGCCATGAGTCGCTCTAATATCTTTCTAGGAAGAACTTGTACTTGTAGTACAGGGACACTTTTCGGTGGAGTAATTTTTTTTCACAGTGGGGTCCAAAGTAAAGAAAAATTTATGATTTGAAAAAATGTTATATCGTATCACTTAATATTATCTTGAATACACTCAATAAACAACTATAAATAGTATGTCGAACGCAAGAACTCATCAGTACCAATCTAGTGAATATTATGAGAAAGATACAGGATGTAGATATTTTCGAATTTTAAGAAGAATTAGTAAAAAAGTCAATTTTCATATAAAACCAAAATAAATAATAACTCTGCAGGGGTGACTTAGAGACCTCCGTAGAACAATTTTTGCGTGATGACCTCATCTATCCCCTATTTGCGTTTGATCCACGACTTTTTGGCCACCCTGTATATTTTACATTTGTTTTTGATAAGCCAAGTTAGTAATAATCTCTTTTTTATTTCCTATAAAAAAACAGTACATATGTATTAATATATACGAACATTTACCAAAATACACTTAAACTGTAAATTTCGGTAGCAATGCAATAAAATTATTAAATTACTTGATGGGCGTCGCAAGCCAATCAAAGTTGATAACTGCAATAATATGATAACCCGACGTCAATTTATCGCAAACGTCGCAATATAAATACATTAACTATGTAATCACACTGTACATTCCTTGAATCTTTAACGATAGGTCGTTGAATCGGCACGAAACCGGTCGACCTTTGAAAAACATTCTTTGCCCTTGAACCCCTCTCATCTCATATTTGGGTTTGAGGACTTACTTTTTAAATTTCAATTTTATTTCTAATATAAAGTTTTACTGATAAATAATTGTAATGAATCTCCTTATACTACTCGTAATAATCTAACTTTACGCAGATTATGTGTTATTAGGATTATGTTTTATTGATTCTGTGAATCTAGCGACGATGTGGCAACTCCAAAATTACTTCTAAAATTGTTTGACTAATGCTGGCGCTACTTTAGCTTATAATAGTTTTTGTATACATTATAAAAAATATTGCAACCGAAAGCGATTGCTTTAAAACAATTTTACATTACACAATAATGTCACAGCAAGGTTAACCAACGTTACGTGATCGTTACGGTGGCTATCAAAAAAAAAACTCTTATAACGCTTTGAGGAAGCATCCCTTGGAACTTGACGGCATTTAAATTTGTTGCAACTATGCAAATACATATGTATTTGCGAACGATAAGAAAATATTTTATCTCAATAGAGATCAGTTTATCTTTTTTGGGTTTAGATACTGTACATCATCCATTAGCCTATCTGCATCTGAACGAAGCAGTGCACATTTGGATGTGACATTGGAAGTGGATAAACGAAATTTTACCCTTTAGTAACAATGTTTACTGTTTGACTTTACTCAGGAAATTCATATTTCTTACCGATTTATAAAGTGAACCAAGAGCACGACCCTGTATTATATTTAGAGAAGTACCAAATCATTGCAAACAATGAAACTGAATGTTCTGTTTGGACATAAATTGTTGTAGGTATCATTCGAAACTCACACAAATCTTTTAGTATATTTTGGGTCATGGCGAAATCGGATATTTGAAACCCACATTAAAGTAGAACCTCGATTACCAAATGCTGACGTTTTGTTAATCCAAAACAACCAAAACTTATGGACTAATATTTCTGTCGTTATATTAGTTCAAAATTACCTAACTCGATAATACCAAATTATTTTCGTTCTTATCAACTCATGCCGCAAGAGTGTCTTCTTAACTGATTATAAATAATTCTGTTTTGTCTTTTTCAGTCATATCTTCGAAGATGGGACGGTAATCGCCGAAATGCGGTGGTTCCGCAAGGGTGAGCCGCCACGGCTGCTCGCCGTATCACCGGAAACCGAACCTCGAACCACGCGACCCTCTAGAAATGGTATGATTGTTTATTGATATAAACATAATTATTTATTAATGTAAAAATTAAAATACATCAAATATTTAACATTCTCGTGTCACAATGTTCGTTCCCATACTCCTCCGAAAGGTCCGAGTATAATGTAATCTAACTTTCCCCCAAAATTTATTCTGAGTTTATTAATATAAATTTGAATATTATAAATAATAAAAAATATTGGTCATGTCGAAATAAATTGCGTTTCATTATTAAAACGGCCTTTAATCATTTTCGTTTAATTTCAGATTCGTCACCAGTAAGTTACTTGCAAAGAAAAAGTAGCAGCAGTTCGATTGAAACGAATTTCTATAACCTAAATGAACAAGTGATAACAGTTGAAAAATCGCAGCACACGTGTCATAATAATGAACACACACCGGTTACTCGACGAATATCTTTGCAAAATAGTCCGACTTCCTTACAAGAGAGTTGTGTTTCTAGCCGAAAGAATCGTGCAGGTTCCGTAGAAAAGGAATACATGGTGTATCGCGAAAAACGAAATCCTTTACTAGATAAAGTGAAAAATACGAAACTGTCATGTTTTAAGTCGAACGGTACTTTTCGATACGGTGATGATGCGGCGTCTACTTCAGGAAGTGAATGTAGTGGCTTCGGACATGTCGAAGACGTTAGTCAAAATCGATATCCAGAATCATATCCAGAACCACACATCGAGTTCGAAAATCACAACCCATGGGTTAAAATGCAACATTATGAAGACGAAGTTTTTTATCCAAAAAGCCCTGTAGAATGTAATTGGAGGGAAGGCAAATCATTCACGAATAGAGGAACTAGATGTTACAGTTCAGGATCAGAGTGTGATCGATATCATGCCACACCAAAAACAGCTACTAAACTCTCTAAATCCAGTGATCAAATTTTTAATGATGATTATGAATACTCAGATACACCCGTTGCCATAATATCCGACAGTAAGACTGATAAGTATAAGAATAAAAATGAAAAAGACACGATAGGACCAAGCTCCTGTCTTTCCGCTAAGATTCGAGCTATGTCGGACAGGTATTTAAAATCCTCCAATAGAATTTTATCTAAACTCTATAAACAAAATGGGGAAGACAATGACACACCACACAGCATGACTGAGAACATTTCAAAATCAAATAGTAGAAGCCGCAAGAAAAAAGGTGGAGTCAAAGCAAAACTCAGAAGCTTTTCTTACGGTGCACTACCCGGTCTAGATGAATTTCAAAAAACTCAAAGTGCCGTATTTCACGATGAAGTCTTCAACATTTCTTGTGATGATGAAAACGTGTTATTGCAAGACTGTGAGGATGCAGACTCTGGAATACTAGTCAATGAATCAGCTGCGTCCTCTATGTTTGATAACGACAGAATACCTCCGCGGTGTGAAAGTTCCGCATCGCAAACTAATTCTCAGGGACCTTGTCATAGTAGAAGTGTGTCCGGCGACCAAAGCTTTGCTAAAGTTAGAGTTTCACATAGAAAGAGTAGAGAGAGGAGTGAATTTCCTAAACCAAGACCAAGAAATTCCCAAAGAGCTCTATCGTTAGATCGTAAAGAAATACTACGGCGAATGCCAAAGAACTGTGATACTGAGGAACCTCAATATCTTCAATTAACGGAGAAACAGAGAATGCGTCAAAGAGACGCTAGTCAAGGTGATTGTGGAATTCCGCCTATACCGCCATGTCGCAAGCCCTTAAAGCACTTGAGTAAACCTCAATCGGAGTTCAAAGTAGTGAAAATAATAAGAAATTGTCCTAATGATGAACTGGGTATATTTATCGCTAAGACAAAGCTGTCGGATGAAGGACATATTGGATACCTGGTGGCACATGTTGTACCGGGAGGTTTAGCAGCAAAGTAAGTTTACGTTATTGATCTAAACGATTTATTTATTAAAAGTGCTATAAATAACTAATAGTTTATTATTGTATTATCACGGTTTACGTGGTTTGAACTACAACATACCCTTTTTATATATTTTAAGCTTATTTTTTGTTGGACGACCTGTTTGTATTTGCTTATAAGTTTTTTAATCATTTCAGGGAGGGCTCTCTGCGTATCGGCGATGAATTACTCAATGTAAATGGACGAAGACTTCGAGATCTTACCATGGCAGAAGCCAAAGATGCATTGCGATCTGGAGCGGCAGAAATCGACATAGTAATTTGCAGACAGCGGGAAAAAAGTTCAGTCGAAATCCGCCAACGGGAACCAAAAAAACCTGGTGTCTTAATGCGAGAAAGTTCCGTAGACTATGAAAACGCAGTCATATTGGGGAAGGAAAGAGGCGTCAATAAATATGACGTCAGAATAGCGCGTCATCAGAACCAGGATGACACTGGCTGTAATCGCAAAGGCTTATCAATCGAGCCGGACAACGCGACGGCCACGCAGTCGCATTTCCTAAAGGGTCAGAACGCGAGCTACAGCAGTATGAATAACAAGCTCCTGCGCCGACAGGTCGTTAGTTACGGCGGTGCGAACAAGGAAACAATGACGTTAAGTTGTACGGGTGATATCGTTGACGTTGACGTGCCAGATGGAGTGACAAATCGTGTTGAGACAAAAGAAGACACTGAAATACAGACTCCTAATGCGGCAAACTTCTGTACTCTACCTCGCCGACCAAGAGCGCCTACGCATACTTATCACACAATCACCTTCGAAAAAGGCCATGGAAAGAAGCCATTGGGATTTACAATTGTGGGAGGACGAGATTCACCCAGAGGTCCTTTGGGGATTTTCATAAAAAGTATTTTACCACAAGGCCAGGCGATAGACGATGGCAGATTAAAAGCTGGTTAGTGTCGTAATTTTAAATATTTTTATTAAATAGTAAATTCCTTCGTGCTATATCAAAACAACTTCGGTAAATGTGTCGCGATAAGAATAGGAAGTCATTTTATCGGTTTTCGATAGACTGTAGGAAACGTGTGGTTGCATTCCATGCTGATCGGTATCAGTTAATTAAAGGAAATATAAAGCGAAAGTTATGTTTTCTTGCACATCCCACATTTTTTTAAACATTTTAACTGGACTTTTGACGTGAATGTATGAATAGTATCTATTAGGGATTCATACAAGAACAGGATTTTATTTTTTTCTTAATGGTACACCAGTCAATGTTAAGCGTATGTGTGTTAAAGCTGCGAGATTATTAATTCTTGATTATTTTATTTTCACTTAAAAGATAATATATTTTGACAATTCAAAATTTTAATTTCTCTTTATTATTGTTTGAAGATAGTATCCGATTTTTTTAAATATGTCTAAATATACTATTTTCAGGAGATGAAGTGCTAGCAGTGAATGGACAAGCATGTCATGAGTTGGCGCATATTGAAGCACTAGCACTTTTCAAAGCTGTGCGAAGTGGGCCCATCGAGTTACGAGTTTGCCGTAGAGTGAAAAACCAGTAAGTAAAATTGTTAATAATTATTTAATATTGCTTTTAGCGAGTTGCGAAATGATGAAACTAGTAATTGTACCTTGATGTCTCGAGTTCGAATACCAGATGTGCACCAATATACTACTCTTAATAAAATAATAAATCAGTGGCGCTACAACCCCTTTAGGTCTAGGCCTCAGATTTCTGAATCTGTTCATAATAATTTTTCAATCTAATAGGCAAGTAGGTGATCAGCCTCCAGTGCCTGACACACGCCGTCGACTTTTTGGGTCTTAGACATGTCGATTTCCTCACGATGTTTTCCTTCACCGTTCGAGCGAATGTTAAATGCGCACATAGAAAGAAAGTCCATTGGTGCACAGCCGGGGATCGAACCTACGACCACAGGGATGAGAGTCGCACGCTGAAGCCACTAGCCCAACACTGCTCGCTAATATACTATACCCTTACACCTGTGGCAGGCACAGAAGGCTGCTTTAAAATATACATTGTTAAAGGCTGTGCTGTGCACACCTGTGTAGATTACATAAAAGTAATCTTATAATTTTTATTAATTCACATATTGTTTCGCTAGTAGCCGTACCCACAACCTGGTAGTTATTTGATGTATGTACTCTTTTAAATATTAATTAAAAAGAAATATTTAAAGAAAAACGCTTTTTTACGGGATTAAAGTTATGTTTATTATTATAAATTTACAACTATTTATTTAAGAAATATTTTTCAGATCTGCTAAAGCCAAGTCATGCACAGATCTTCTAAATGACGACGATTGAGGGAACGAGAATTGAGCCAGGAACTTCATCAGGTGTTTGAAATTCGACCTTAATACGGCGAAATAAAGCCGCATTTCCGATGGTCTTTTGGTAAAGGTAAACCCCGCTGTAAAATATATTGTATTTTTCGCTAAATCGTAAACTTAAGGACAAAACCAAAATGACGTATGTATTTTGTAGAAAACATGTGTACGTGACAAATGGCATTTAAGCTAGCAACTGAACGTAGTCAAATGACAAGAAAATTAAACTGTAGTAGCTGGTTGTTCACATAAATATAATATCTAACTTAACTTAATTTTTCCCTATCATTTTAACTCCAAAATATAGGAGAACTTTATCTAACCAAATTGGAAGTAATTCACTCCTATTTTTATATAATGTGCCATTTTAGCGCTTTATAAGGATTAACTAGTTTCTAGTTGTTAAAGTCATATGCATACTATAAATCTCAATTACTTCAAGAATGATAAATGATAGAGAGACAAAACATTTATAGTATGTCTATGAAATGATTAAACGCCTTTCTGGGTTTTGTATGAAAACCTGTATCCAAAGATAGTTTCATAACGTCACTGATATGCATATTAACCTTGTTTCATATTATCTACTTAACAAAATATTTGTTTTTCCTAAATCGTTAATCTAAGTGACTATCTATTAGTGTCAAAATTTTCTATTACAAATAACTGTATTCATTAAACTCAGGTATATTAAATAATTATTATTATTAAATTCATAATACGAAGCATATTGTTAAATTTTTTATGTAAATTTTGGATGCCAAGTTTCTTGCACTCTATGTTCAGTGACTGGTATACAATATTAGTAAAAAGTGGTGTTGAAAATCTTTATGTATAGGTATGTCTAATGCATAAAGGTCCTCAGTTCGATTTCCGCCGTAACTATAATTGTTTTGGTGCAATTGTATGGTAACTTATTGTAAATATTAGCAATGTAACGAATTATATATAATTTTCTGTCAATTCTATGTAAAATGTCCATATCGAATTTTTTATTACAGTGAATAATCGATACTATTTTTGCACAAATTGTAAATATTTGTTTGTACAATTAGGACTAGAAATACTCTTCAATCGTTGCTAGTTGACTGTGCAATGCAATATTGAACTAAATTGAATAGTTTTTGATCTGATTTCTGTGATAAGGTTTATTTTATGAATTTGGAGGCAGCCTTTTAGAATGTAAAACAAAAGACGAAACGATGGCGCGCTGCTATTTGTTGTGATTGGGAATAACCGATCGGATTGCGTGTCTGTGGTTGGACTAAATAACCAAACGATGCGCGCTGTCCGATTTCGCCACATAGTACATATCATATTTCCCTTAATATGTTTTTTGTCTTTCGAAAAAATACAAATTCTCGAACAATTATTTATATGAAATAAAATTAAAGTTATGATACATAATGTTATAAAATCAATTCACTATTTCTACACTAAATCTAGAAATATTATTATAGGAAATTATTATTTAGATAGCTTTTTGTAAATATGAACCATGATTGTAAACGTATAAATTGTTTATTAAATCTTTGAAAAACGATTTTTTTTATTTTTACAACAATAATTCCAACCGAAGTTGTCAAGGATGTCATCCATTTCATGCCCAACTACTTGACTAAAAAAAAAATGTGTGTTCTCTTCTCCCCCCGCACGAGAACTTCTTCCCCCTTCTTTTTAAAAAATTTTATTTTTTTCCCAACCACCAAATCAATTTAAATTAACAAAACCCAAAAAAGGAACCTTTATTCCCAAAAAACCCCATTTCCCTTTTTATAAAAATAAAAAAAAAATATATTTTTTTTTTTTTTTTCCCCCAAAAAAAATTAAAAATTTTTTTAATTCATTTTTTTAAACTTTTTTTAATTATATTTATATTTATTTAAATATATTAATTTTTTTAACCTCCCCCCCCCCCCCCCAACCCCCCTCCCCCCTTCCCTTTTTTCTTTTTTTTTTTTTTAAAATTTATATTTTTCCCCCCCCCCCCCTCCTTTTTTTTTTTTTTTTTTTTTTTTTTTTTTTTGGCCCCCCCCCCTTCCCCTCCCCCCCCCCCCCCCCCCCCCCCCTTTTTTTTTTTTTTTTTTTTTTAGTTATGTTGTCACTGTTGTACACACTTTGTTTGGTTTTAGTTTCAAGTTATGTCAAAACTGATTTATTACCTTGTCATTGTTGGCTTTATTTGCTTTGGGATAGCAATTGTCTCCAAAATGATTTTATTTGTAACAATCCTGAAATATATAAATAACATCTATTAATTTAAGTGTCATGGAGGCCACTAGGTATTAAGGTGTATTATACCCATGTCCATTATAAGTGGGAAATGTATTACAATCTCAGTTTCGTATGACAGAATAAAGTTTCTTCCCCTTGCTTGGGGTGGGCCCTGCCCCCCCCCCCCCCTTTTTTTTTTTCCCCCCCCCCCCCCCCCCCCCCCCCCACTTTTTTTTTTTTTTTTTTTTTCTTTTTCCCCCCCCCCCTTCGGTATCATCTCTGCCATATCCATTTTTAGATGTCTTTTTCCACCTCTTTTTTTGATGTTTCACCATAAGTGACAACTCTTTTTTTTATTCAATTTAGTCACTTCCACTAAATTGTTTTTTGTCTCTTGTCCTTATATTTGCTAGATTAAATCTGAAAATTTACATGTTTTGATTAAATAATGTAATCATTTTTTTGAGATGCAGGTACTTATTAAAATGTTTACTTCTCTGTAATATCGCTCCAAGCCTTCATTTTCTCCTTATTAGTATTCGTGCTTAAATCTTTGTTCTCAATTATTTTATATAGTCGTAGTTTTCTAAAGTGCTGTAACAAACGCAATATGCTAAAAGTTAATTAAGTTAATGTTTAGTTTAATCAACAATAATACTCAGTTAAGTATCGTTAATAAATACTAGAATTGGCAAGTTTTTTTATTTTTAATTCAATTCTGATTATAATTCAGACGCACATATAAAATTTTGTATATGAAAATAACTATATGAATTTTATTTAAACAATGTTCATATCCTATATGAAAATGTATATGCATGTATTCTTTGGATATTCCAAATTCTTTTTAAAATATTAATATGCTGGAAGTTAGCATTGTATATGCTATTTCTTTTGTAGATTGCGCGCGCCACCTTCACACCATTTTTTGCGATCGTAAAATTTCACTCTCATCAAATTTTCATAACGCGCCTAAAAGTAACTTCAAAAATATTCAGCGAAATCTCAGTTTCGTCATGACAGAACGGTACGTATGCCTGTGTACGTCATCCCCGGCTGTACACCAATGGACGTTTTCTTTCTATGTGCTAAAAGCATATAACATTCGCTCGAATCGGTGAAGCGAATTCATCGTGTTGTTGCTGTACACCAATGGACTTTCTTTCTATGTGCGCATTTAACATTCGCTCGAACGGTGAAGGAAAACATCGTGAGGAAACCGGCTTGCCTTAGACCCAAAAAGTCGAGGGCGTGCGTCAAGCACAGGAGGCTGATCACCTACTTGCCTATTAGATTAACAAATGATCATGAAACAGATACCGAAATCTGAGGCCCAGACCTAAAAAAAGGTTGTAGCGCCACTGATTATTATTATTATTAAAATACTAGTTCACTATTATAAGTGACATCTAGCGGCGTTAAGGAAAGTCTTACGCTACTAATATTCTCTTGATAATTGTTACGAATATTAAGAGATGGCAGTATGTTGATATGTACTTTAACCCCAGAATTAATAATATAATTGACAGTTATATGACCAAATATTATAATGAATATGTCATTATTAATATTGTAATGACTATTTAGCTGTTATCGATGGCTGGAACAGGTCAATGGATAATCCCTGAACATTTTAATAGTAAATCAACGTATAAAACTAAATGTAATGTATGTATATCTAAAATTAATGGGTTATTGATTCTAGATTTATTATTATATATGTATTGAAGAAAAACATAAAAATTTTGAATTATAAAAAAACAATAATCCGACCACTTGTTAATGCAGCAAAACGTAGTACCTACACAATATATATAGATATATATTTTAGGTATTAGTATGATATTGATATTTCTCCGTTTAAATAGCCTTTTATCATATTTTTTATAAGATATTATATGCTATATAAGTAGGTTATATAATGAAAGATAAGTAGATACATTATATATGTATATTATTTTGTTATGTAACAAAATAATGAATTCAAAATAATTGAGTTTTTTTGCTTTTTCGCTTAAAGAACTGAACCAATATCTGACAAAAGTGGTCTAGGTAAATCCCATATTTGTCCAAATATATAACACAGACGGGAAGCTAATATCAATAAAATTTCTATAAATTATCTAATCATGATAAATATTGTTCCGCTATTAAATCTCACGCAACTTCCTGATTTCTCGTGGCATCGTCTTCGATTGAATCTGATTGTGATGTGAAACTTTCACACTCGTTAGCTTATTTTGTTAAAATATAGACGCTCGATAGTCATACAAGGACAGGAAGTGGATTTTATTTAATGTTGATAACGGATTTCTTATCACACATATATTACTCTGGACAGTCGTTGAAAGCTTTAAGTTTCAATAAATTACTAGCGGACCCCACAGACGTTGTCCTGCGTGATATTTCCAGCGATTAGGATATTAAACAAAGTATAAAAGTACCGACTGCAGCACCATCTGTCGGGCTGATTTGTGAATCTAAACCACCCCGGACTCCACCCAAACGCATACAATTTTTTTTATTAAAATCGGTCAGTCGTTGAAGAGGAGTTCAGTGCCATACACACGTACAGTATAATTATATATGTTATATATATTATACACACATATATATATATATATGTGTGTGTGTGTGTAAGCTACCTTATCTTTTAAGTTAGATCAAACTGCACACGGTGTGCAAATTTGATTGAAATCGGTTGACTAGTTTAAAGAGTCCATAGCGGACAAACAACGTGACGCGTTTATATATATTAAGATG